CTGGCCTTTTCTGTTTATGTAGTACTGAGGAATGGAACCCAGGGCTTCATGCATGCTAGACAAGCACTCTAGCACTAAGCCACTTTCCCAGCCCCCATTTCCTCTGCTCACCACAATCATGACAGCTTATACCCAGCTGAAATAAAATCTCAGATGCTTTGAACTTACATTATGTTTTTTTATTCTTCCTAATTGAGAAGACTAAATGGATACCTTAAGTTCCTTAAAGATTATTACTGGGTTTTTTTGTATGAATATATGTCATCAACATGAACATTAAATTAGGTGGCATACACGGGAAAAGACACACTAAATCACCTCCATATACAAAGAGTTCTCTCTAGTCCTTTCCTCCCCTTGGTTCGTTATCTAGATTTCCATTCTCGTCTTATGTCCAGATTGTTTTGACTCATCTAAAGAGGAAAGATGAAGTACACCTGAGTTTCACATGATGGTTTTATTCTTTCTCTGCTTTCCAAGACTGCACATTTCTTTCCTGGAGTGCTGGGAATATATACAACTGGTTCCCATCGAAGCTTCTGATTCAGTCATTGATTTGTGTAAGAGGTGAGGCCGGAGTAGAATGATGTGTGCCAAAGAAAAGCTATACATACCCCACAAACTAATCAGAATAATTCAAGATGTGGACCCTCAGTTTTCAAAAATCCATCCAAACTTCCACAAAAGCTTTCTCCAAAGCCTTATACTTAATGTCCAGCTAGTTGACTAGTAAGCACCTAATTGTAATTAATACTACTTTAAAAGCTTAAAAAGTTGTACTTCTTTTAGAACTTCAGTCAGTGATGGCACAATAGTTTCTACAATGTATCATAGTTCCTGGGGGAGAGGGGCAAGGGGGAGCATGGAAAGTAACTGAGAGATCAGAAGCAAATCACAAAGAAGAATTCATATAGACTGGCAGCCCCAAACTGTACTCAGCCATTGTGCAGCTAGACATACCTGGATTATCATTCAACAGAATAGCAAAGACTGCACTGAAAAAAAATCCTCAAATCCCCTTGTCCATCTAGACATTCTGATGTCTGACGTGGGTTTTCTGCCCCTCCTTAGCTTGTTTATGAATAGGGTGGACCACATTGCTTGACCTATTTGCTGAAATTTGATGGAACTCCAAGAGACCATATGGGTAGCCAGATGGTTTGCTGAAATTTGGTGCCACTATTCAAAGGATGATGTAAGGTATAACCATAATTTGCATTCTTTTCCATCCCTGCTGCATACCTTTTATGTGTTTCATTTTTTTAACTCAGACATCAGAAAGAGAGATAATATCTTGCTACCAAGACAGAGATGCTAGCTAATTACTACCAGAGACCCCAGCCCTGATATCGCAGGCCAGGCATTCAGTGACCCCATCGTAGTGATTAATAGATTGAGTGCTAAGCCCTAATAAGAGTGTCAGATCTCAGGTGTTCTTGAGGCTAATGTAATTAGCATTATGCTGAGCAGAATATTTCAGTACTTGGTGGAGATTCATCACACTTCTCAGTCAAGCTAGGTGCGTTATAATGCCATAGTCTTTGAATTTATTTTATGATCATCAACCTCCTAGGCCTCTGTAAATAGAGAATTTCCAAATACCAGATAAAATTTAAATATTTTAATCAAATATTGATTTTTTTACAATAAAGAACCCTTGCATTATACATAAATTGAGGGGTTTTCAGAGATGCTTGTTAAAATGCAAATTTCTAGACTGAGTAGAAATTCTGATAAGAAGGGTAGAAGATAAAGACTAGATCTGTGTATTTTTAACAGGACTTAATATTCAGACACAGAAAATCTGTTGAATATTCTCAAAAACAAAACCATTTAAATGTCAGTAGTAAGACTAATAACTGAAGTTTATATTGTTTCTGACAATATTATTTGCACTGACTCAAAGAAAATTGTCCTAAGAAGAAGATAGCTTTAAATGAGCCAATTATTTTGTTAAAAAAATGAAGATAAGCCACAGATTTATGAGTATTATTTCTAGCAAATCATATAAATGTCTGAGATCTACATGTAAACATTGATACAGCAGTCAACATTTCTACCTGTCAGAAAAAGCCAAGTGTTGTGTTACGGTTTGGTTTTATTCCCCACCCCAAGGGAAAAATCAATGCATAGCAGAATTTCTACAATCCTTGATTTTACTCCCTAGCCTAGGAAAACATGCAAAACATTTCAGCCCTGATAATTGAGGACTTGGGGAAAATATTACAAGGATTTTTAATTGGATTTCACTTGGATATTAATATTGTCAGTTACTACCAACTATTTTCATAAATCTAGTATTGCTATCTTTTTCTCTCTTTTGACAGTACTGAAGCTTGAACTGAGGCCTCATTTACCACTTGAAACAGGTCCCCAACTCTTTATGCTTAAACTATATTTAAATAAGATCTTGTGGTTCCCCCCTCCCCCACCCCGGGGCCAGGTTTGACTGCAATCCTCCTACCTTCATAGACATGTAGTACCTTGTCCATTTTGTTCTTGGGTATAAGGTCCCTCTAACTTTTTGCCCACACTGGCCTTGAATAGTGTTCCTCTTAATACCATCTCCCAAGTAGTAGCACAGCTTTTGTAGAAACAACCAGATATAAAATATGTTTATTTTATTCATCCATTGCCCTAAATATTTAAGTTTTTCAATATGTATAGCTATCAAATTACCATTTTATTTGTGAATTTCAAGAGTTTTCTTTGGTGCTTTTTCACATGCATACAGAGAGAAAGAGAAAGCATTTATTTTTAAAGAAAGAATATGAATTAAATGAAAACATGTATACTTGATAAATCTGTTGATATTTGAGAAAATCAAAATGATATGAGGTTAAATTAAAATTACTCCACTCTTGATGCCAGTGCCTTTAGATATCCTGCCAGGAGGAAGAAAGTTGCTACAGTCATATAGCAATCTATACAATCCCCATTATAATTGTTGAAAGGACATTCTTAGAAAGCATATTAGAAGCAGAAATTTTATCATTGACATGGACAAACAGCATTTGACACTGGGATAAAAATATATATTTAACTTAACCAATCCTGTGCTGCACTGGTTTAATCCAAAATCCACAAAAGTGGAAATGCACACAACAGCTAACATTAACACACAACCACACAGAGACCGTAGGATTCACCTTGGATTGAACTTTTGTACCATTCTGTGACTAAACAAAAGAGCTTGGTGGGAGCAGGAGAAATTAACACTGCAGGGAAAGGATATGGCATTAAGTGTGCAGGCCTGGTTTAGGCCTGGCTCTAACACTCTCCTTATATAAAGATGATGACAGCAAAGGGGAAAGAGCAATGACTGATAAGCATCTGCCATGAATGGTCTGTCTGACTTAGGGAAGCTACCTTGGTTTCTCTATTTTTCAACTGCAGAGAAGAGAGCTTAGAGCAATTATGAACAGGTTATTCAGAGGATCACCTCATTTCACACATTGAAAGTACTGACAGAGGAGACCTCAATGGACAGTAAAAACCCTAAATGCTAGACATTATCACAGACACCAGAACTTCTGCAATAAGAACCTTACTCATGTTGCTGATGAACAAAATGGATTTTGCATTTAAAATGTTCTGTTTTGTAAATATGGTAAATAATAGTATAAAGATTTATTTCATCCATTTACCCCTTTCTTTTAAAATAAACTATAGTTTACAATTGAAGATCTGTCTCTATATAAATGTATATTAAAGAGCAAAGATGTATATCTAAAAAAATCACGTAAATCTGCTTTATTAGTTCACTTATTACATAGAGACTGGACTCTACATTCTTAAAGTACTTTTACTTTTCTTCAAGATATGAACTTATTCTCTTGAAGCTGAGATTTCTTTTATTAAATAAGTTACGTATATCTGGTCAATTAATGAACAGACTTTTGTTAGATTGCATGCAATCATTAAAATATACACTTGGTACACAACGAAAGGAAAAAAGATATGGAACTAGATCATGTATATGATGTCTTTATTTTCTTTTTTGTTTTCTTTCAATTCTGAGTTGGAATTCAGATCTTGCATGTGTTAGGCAGGTACTCCATCCCTCAGTATGACAGCTGTCCAATTTAGCTTTAGTGATTTTTTAGAGAAGGTCTCACACTTTCTGCCTGATCTTGGCCTTGAACTGCAGTCTTTCTATGCATGCCTCCTGAATAAATAATAAATAAATAAATGGGATTGCAGATGTACACCATCGTTCTTGTCCCTTCTCATATTCTATACTGCCTCTTAAAGTTACATATCCAGTGAAAAAGTAAAAATTTTAAAAACACATATATTTTAAATAATGACTTTTTTTCAAAAGATGTCATTATTTGACAAATTTTATGGCAAGGAGTACTTATTTCACATACACAAATTTAAATGAGTCTAGAATGTATATGCAGACACTTCATTATTCTCAATATTTAGCATATGTCTGAGTCAAGCAGAAAAGGTCAGATAAGGTGATGTTAGGGAAATGAGCCCTAAGATATGTATTCAAATGTTTTTTTTTTCTTTCATGCGGTTGTTTCTAACACATTTATAAGATGATTTCTCTTAGCTTTTTGTACCTCATGTTTTGCATAATAGCAAATGCAATATGTGAAGGGGAAAGGGAATCACAAAAACAGAACAATGATGAACCACAGCAACATTGATACTCACTTGACACTATGTGCATATGAACATCACCAGTTGGGTGGAAGATAAAGGTAGATGGGGTAATGATGATTAAAAACAAATGTACTTATTGTCTTACCTATGTAACTGTCACCACCCCACCCAGCTGATTGCCTTTTCAATTAAAAAAATTAAAAAGAAAAGAATTTAAGTTCTAATTACACTTTTGTTTGATTTTTTTAACTGAGTCTATAATACAAACTCAGAACTGCAGCATCTCAAGACAGTACACGCAAAGCACGTAGCATGAATATATATTGTTACATCAGAATTGAGACATTCTCACTCCCGAATTCTACTTTTCTGGAGACTCTTACCTCCTGCGTACATAACGGCCAGCATGATGGACGAGATCCACGCGATCTCGCTGTAGGAGGCATGGAAGATTCCCTGAATGTCTTTGAAAAATACTGTGACCGCCTTGGGAAAGGCATATGAAAATCCAATGCAGATGAAAGATGCTCCAACCACAACCCAGCCCCAGCCTCCATCGGGAGGGCTGTGGAGGGGCGGAGAGGTGGGCGGAGGTGGCATTTCCGCTGTTCTGATGGAAATTCAAGTTACCTAGACAAAATATAAACAACAACATAAAAATAGCTTGAACCTTATTTCTTCCGTAGAAAAATATACAAAAATGATATCACAGAAACAACTGGCTATTATGAACTAAAAATTGAAAGTATTTCATTTGTTTCAGAGGGGGAAAATAAGGCAAAGTTAAGATTTTTAGATCTAAGCTAAACTGCCAACTAAATAATTAGAACTATCTTAAATTTATTTCTAGGTATAAGAAAAAACAGAACTGCCATGATATATATATATATATATATATACACACACACACACATAAGTGTATAGAAAACATATGTATATATATCCATATAAGTGTATACAGATATACACATATATATTTACATATATATACTTTCTTAAACATATTGAACTTAACACTTTTATACTCAAAGATAAAAGCACAGGTATTACTTTGATAGATTACAAAGAAGTCAGTAGGAACATTTTGGAATTTTTTCCACTTTCAATAACAATGCTTAAAGTCATTTTACTGAATTTCTAGCATTAGAAATTACATTGTTTCACATGAACTACATTCATCACAACACACTTTGAAAACTGGTGCTATCTGTCATTGTATGAATGATTTATTTTATGTCAGGGATGTTTGTTGTCTGGGGGGCAGGGACAAGAGGGAACAATGTAATTGGAGAATGAAACTTTCAATTTGGGTGCTCCTTAAGAACACTGAACTGCCGGCTTTAAGGAAGGGAATAAGTGCTCACTTACAGAAGAAAACAATGACATACGCCAATATTTTTGAAATCACGTGTATTAAATTTAAACACCTTGATTCTTTAAGACCATTTTGTTTTTGGTAAAGGGATACTGGTTGTTTAGTTCCTTTTTAAAAACACAGTTTTATTGTTATTATAAAGGAGATGCACAGAGGGCTTACAGTTACATAAGTCAGGTAATGAGTTCATTTCTTTTTAAACAGTGTCACCTCTTTCCTCCTCTTCTCCCAGTTTTTCCCTCCTGATCCTTCTCTCCCACAAGTTGTACAGTTCATTTTCAACATAGTATCTAGTGAGTATCACTACTGAATTTGTTGACCCTTTGTCCCACCATTTTTGTGCTCCTCCTTACCATCCCCCAACACAGATGTTATTTTGCTTCTTATTTTTTTCTGCTATGTCACTGATTTTTATTTCTGTACCTTTTATCTTGTATGTAAGTGTATCTGTGTTGCTTAGCTCTTGACTATATGTAGTCCCCAGTCTCCATATCATCTTTACATCACTCTCGTTGTATTTGTAGATATCTTTCCAATGACATATAGAGGGAAAGACAGAACTTCATTTCTTTTGGGCAAGACTATGCTTGTAATAAGCTAACGAAATCTAATTTGGTCACATCTTCGGAAAACCTAGCATCAGGCAGGTCCATTTATTAATGATCTATGTGGACGTTGGAACTCTCATTTTACACACAGAAAAGTACATATGCAAGGGCATTGTCTGTAGGATCCACAGTGAAGAGTTGTCCATACTAACAAAAGTCACATAAATATTAATTTTGTCAGTAATTTAAATAGGCTCCACCATAAAAGGCAAATAATTTTATATCAAAATTATGTATATATATGTGTGTGTGTGTAAGTTGCACACATGTTTATAATATGCATCTACATATGCATATAACATGATAGTCTGTTGATACAAACACTGTACTTCTATCACATCCTGTCCTCTAAAATTCTGGTTTTATATGTAATTCTATATATAAAATTGATTTTATTTTACAATGGCTTCATTTTGTGGCACGAAGATTAAGCATGAGAGTGTTGAAGGTTTGGCACATTGGATCCTGCACTGAAGCATTTAGTATGGTAATAGAATGGTGTCTGTTCTTTTAACTGCAAAATCAGAGTCATTTCATTTTACTTCATAAAGTAACAAAGACTGACAGCAGGATCCATGTAAAGTAAATTGCAGGACTGATTATATCCTAAACAAATATTACCTGTCACTATCCTGGCCTTCCTTTAATTGATAATTAAACATAATGCTCCTTAACGTGGATTACAATTGGATTTTTTTCAATCCCATTTGAACATGGAAGGCATGTGTGTGTGGCTTTCATTTCCACCGAATTCCATGTTCTAAGTTGCATTTAATATTGCAACTATAATTTTAAAAGCCAAACCTTAAAAGAAAATTTTGCATAAAGAATACTTAGCTCCAAAGGTAGTGTTAAAATAATAATACTAGAGTCATGACTGCTTTCCTTAGTTCAGTATTCTGCACATTGAAGTGTTCAATATGACAGCATTTAGCTCAGTTAATTTATATTGAAATATATATGTGTTTTTATATATGTATGTATATACATCCCTAAACTTGATTACTATATGTAAACTAAAACTATAACTAACTCTAATTGAACTAACTATAACTAAAACTTATATTTTATAGTATATATAAAATTTTGATCATCTAAAGAAACAAGGTAAAATTCAATAATAATTTCATAAATACATGTGAACCTAAATAAAATGAATTCTATGTACTACATGCCTGTATTTACACAGATATGATTCCTTTATTTTGTGCTAGTGGAAGCAGTTGGCTTTTAACTTAACATTATATTTTCACATTTATACATGATTTACATTGATTTTTTTCTAATCTGATGTTATGAAGTTCAGCTGGTTCTTATTACTCGTGGGAATTATGCTCAATAAAGTTATCTAAACATTGAATTAGTGAATACTGAATCAATGATCATGGGAAAAATAAAGGATTGGGTCCCTGTAATTAGGATTTTAATCACAGTTTTATCAATTAATAATCTTGTGAGATATGTATATCTGCTTAAAAATACCTTATTCAACATAATTTATTGACTCATGAACTTTGAACTTAAGGTCAACTCAACTGTAGGAAAACTCAAACCTTAAAGGAGTTTGTGTAACACAGCATTTTCTCCCTAAGGTATATCACAGTATCCTTGCATTCGGGGACTTTCAAGTTAGCACTCCTGCAAAATTCGCACAGGCATTGTAAATAGCAAAATTAGCAACCAAACCCTCAAAAACGTGGGAAACAGGGCACTTAGCAGGCTGCCAAGAATTCTTGGTTTTACTATAAGTAAAATAAGGAAGTAAAGTACTGCCAAAATTTAAAATGCTTAAATATAATACATTCAAATAAAAAGGGAAAATACTAGCTACAATCTTGACACTAATAAACAGTAGTATATAAATTGATAAACATTAGGGTAGGGCTTTAATTAAAGACATGACTATATGCGATGTAAGACTGTAAACAATTCAAAGTTCTATCAAAATCATAGGTGTCAGCAGATAAAGCAGTAGAAATTTCCAATTAATGTAAAGTAATTTTATGTATCATCTCCACAACTAGATTATGAGTCTTCTGATTTTGATACATAATGATATTTAGATATCATCCACTGAGCTGCTGAGAACCTTGCTATAGCGTCTGGGCTATCGAAAGGCATTGATGATTAATAGGTGAGCTTTTGTCTTGGTTATAAGAGTGTTCTTTATTTTAATTAGAAGTACATGTTACAAGTCTCCACTTTTTTATTTGCTGCCCACCTTGTTTATTTCCTATGAAGTCTCATCTAAGGGTCTCTTAACTAATGATTAGAAAGTATATCCAAACCAATTAGCTCGTGGAAAATTGCATGTCTAAAATCATGGGCCTACTTTATTCTCAGTTATTGAGCTGACAAAGAGTCAAGATCAATTTCAAACACACGGACATTAGCTTCATGATTCTTTCTGTGTACAATTCTGTAATCCTTGATATAATTAAACAGTGTTGTGTTCTGTTCCTTAGATTTGCAGGCATAAGCCAAGAAAAATGGAGTTAAAAATAGATTTTTACCTGTTGACAGATGTCCACTTGAACAGATTTCTTTGGGTTGTATGTAGAATTTTTAAGCCTTGTCACTTCACATTGAAGTGTAATATTCAAAGGCAATACAAAGGAAGAGAGGTAGAGCAGATTCTGAATTCTCTATGGAAATAGAAAAACAAAGGTTACATGTAGAATTATACAAGCCTGATTAGAGCACCTAGCTTTGACACATCTCAGTAATTGTCACCATTATTTAATAATTATGTACACTAAATAGAACCATATTTCATTGACACCACCCACCATTTTTTGTTGCCACAAATGACGAAATGTGTACATAAGGTACAATAAGAAAGAAAAAGTGTGAGATGAAGCATTGGATTTGTTCTCAACAAAATACATAAGCAGATCACATAGATACTTTAACATCATGAGAAAAGAAATGCTGCCATACATTAGCTTTCCCTATATTATTTAATTTGTACTAAAATTTAATTAAATAAATATCCATTGCCAGTTGAAAAAGGTTAAGTAATAGAACAATTTCAGTAATACACATGTTTTAACAATGAGCCAAAATGGGTAGAAAAAAAGGAAATAAAAAATATTTTATTAGAGAATTATGGTTAGAATCCAGACTTCCTAATCATGTCTTGGTGATAGGCAAATATGCTAAATCTCTAATCTATTAGTTACCTTTATTTCAGTATGGCACTGAATATATAAATAGATCCAGTCCTAAGAGGTTATTTTCTTTGATCTAAGCCTTCATTTAACTAGATTAACTCTGAGAAAAAGTCAATCATTTGGATTAAACAACAAGTCATCCGCCTTGTGCTAAGACCACCAATTCACCAATTCTGAGGTCCTGAAAGAAGATAACAGAGCCACTGAGTCAAAGGAGGTTTTTAATCAGAAGACGAAGGAAGTGTGAGCTCAGTGTTAAGTCAGAGGGACTATCAGGGGAAACAAGAGTAAGAATGAGTAAATGGACTCTGACAGTCACAGATACAATCTGAGACAGAGGCAAGAACAGAACTGAAGGTTTAACTTGTGCTAAGAATGAAGCATGCACATTCCTTGCTTCCCCTGAGTCTGGAGACAGAGCAGTAAGAAGACGGCCTTACCAACTTGTGTCTGCAAGAGTCTTGGTGGTGATTTTTGTATGCTGGGTAATTCATGAATGTAGTTCCATCTACACCATGAAAGCAGCCCACAAGGATGAATGAAGAATTGTTTTTTGTATTCCTCTGTTTCTTCTAAGGCTCATTTCATTGGAAAGCATCTAAAAACTGAGCTCTGACCCCTCCCCCAGGCTATAATTATTCCTACTCATGGTTTATATACATTAGTTGAAGAGCTAGAACAAGAGTAATCCTGAGTTAGGAAATGGAAAGACTTGGAAAAAAGTGTATTAAGTGAAGTAAGCCAGGCCCAAAGAAACAGGTCCCATGGTTTCGCTTATTTGCAATAACTAGTATATGTCTGAGTCAAGCAGAAAAGGTCAGATAAGTTCATGTTAGGGAAATTAACTCTAAGATATGTATTCAAATGTTTTTTTCTTTCACAATTTTTTTTGGGGGGTCCAATCGTGGGGCTTGTACTCTGGGCCTGGGCGCTGTCCCTCAGTTCTTCAGCTCAAGGCTAGTGCTCTACCACTTGAGCCACAGCATGACTTCGGCTTTTTTCTTTTTGCTTATGTGGTGCTGAGGAATCGAATCCAGGGCCTCATGCATGCAAGGCAAGCACTCTACCACTGAGCCACCTTCCCAGCCCTGTTTTTTTCTTTCATGTGATTATTTCTAACACATTTATAAGATCATTTCTTTGTTGCTTTGTATGTCCCTCCCCCACGGTATAAACCCTGCTTTCACTGTATTTAATATCGGTATAATTTGGGGAGGGGAATGGAAAAAAACAAATCGTTTAAATGGGGATACAGGTGGACCCATTGCAACAATGAGATGTACAAGTTGGGTTGTTATGTGGAAAACAAACTTTACAACTTTGGTGGTGTGGGGGGAGGATGGGAAGGGATGAGAAGGGGAAACAAAGGAGGAGGCTACAATGCTTGATAAGAAATGTACTCATTATCTTGCCCATGTAATTGTAACCCCTCTGTACAGTATTTTCACAATAAAAAAATAATAATCCTGAGAAATTCTTGGAATGCTACAAATCCTCTATGCTCACTACAAGTTCTTAACATTTTACAGTGCCTTCATCTGACTCTGGTCCATTTTCTTTCAGGAAGAACAAATCACATTCTGGACTCTTTGAATGAGTGGGTCAATCATCTGGAAATACATCACTTGATAGTTACACTTATTAATACCTTTGTTATATCCTTTTCTTGGCATATATTAAGCTTCCATATTCTATTTTTAATTAACATGATATGTTGGTCTTTGACTTTAACAATGAAAGACAATGTTTTAGAATTAGTGTATCTGGTAAAAGACATACAACAATCCTTTAGTACACGTAAACACCAATTCTTTAGTACTTTGGAAGTATTTCTTTTAATTTAGGACAGTAATTCTTTTGGTGATTCATGGCTGAAATCCAAGTTGGCACAAGGCTTATTATGAATTACCAAAGCCAGTATTAATGCACAATATTTGCTGATTTTATTTCTTAGCAGTTTCCATGTATGTCATTTTTTGTTGTGAACTTTATATATCACAAGAATGTGAAACAAAAATGATGCCTTAAAGATCTCTTTTTTTAACAATTCAATTAACTGATTTTTATAATTCCATGAACCTGGAAAAAGTGATATAATTCTAAATCACATTCTATTCACAAAAGCATAAAGGATTAGAGATATAGAATGAGTTTTCCAAAATGTTATAGTCAATAAGTAATCAAAAATGGTATCATGAGCAGCATATTTCTATAGAGGCCATTGTTACCAATTCAACGTTAGCACACCAACATGAAAGCTGCACTTTATGCAGTTATATTTATTCCTTCAGTCTTATTCCAATGGGGAACATTCAAACTTCAGTTCATGCTCATGTCCTTGCCTGTCTTCTCCATCAGAGTTCATATAATTACTCTTTGAGTTCAAAATACTACAGCTATCCTTCAAAGTTTAAAATCCATCCTTATTCTAGTTAATTTACATCTATGGTTTCCATAGGACTTATTTTAGTCAATAAATGATGCCATTAATTGAAGAATGAGCTGAGAGAGCTCTCTTAAAGATTCGACTATTTCAAGTGACTTTGAACAACTTTTATGTAGTAGCCTATGTACTGAAACCTAAGAACTTCATCTTGTCTTCTACAATCAATACAGGCTGATTAATTAGGTTGATTAGTCTATGAAGAAAAAGATGTAGGACACAGACGCAATGAAGTGATAGGCAATGGAAAATGGCTGGACGATAATATATTCAAGGTTTTTTCTCATTCAGTTGAACAGACTATGGGAATGCTCCTTTATAAATTTTGTGAGGAATCCTTTCTTCAACTTCTTAAAAGTAAACCACCATGCTTCAGCTCTACAGAGCCTTCTTAATAGCGTACCCCATCTAAAATTTTATCTTTCAAACTAAGGTCCAGAAATAATATACTCAGCAAACTAAGTCTCAGATTAAATCAATAGGAGATAGGAGACTTTTGGCGTCTCTATAAATATCTCTAAATGCGCTATCATGAAAGCATGAACTTTCTATCACATCCTACCTAAACACTGGCCTAGGCTTTCACATAAATGAATTGATATGTTCTTGGAAGAAAAATCCACTGATCTTTCTGATCTCTATTACCTCTTTCTTATACAAAAGGATAGAACAAGCTCAAATTAATGTATACTGTTTAATTTAGGTGATAGCTCACCCAATTTTACAACAGAAATTAAATCAAGCCAAATCTTTTCTTTTCCAACCTGTAATTGAATTAAAATTGGAATCTAATCCTGAGGTTATTTTATTCTTCAAAGTGAACCATCTTTTAAATCGTATTGACATTTACTTTGACATCTAGGCAAGAAACTTACCAATAGTGCCTGGCCCACAGAATGTCAGTAACATGGAACATATATTTAGATTTAAATTATTGCTGTAGTTGTAATTACCCAGAATGCTAATTGATGACAAGGGTCAAACTAATCACATGTCATTAGGATGGGAAAATTATGAAAAAATAATAGGAATTGATAATAGATTATCTATGAAGATTTGGAAATTAATCTTCTAAAAAATAGTCCTAGACTCTGATATTTTGCAGTTAAATGTATAAAAACAAGTATAGTGATAGAAAGGTGGCTCAGTGGTAGAGTGCTTGCCTTGCATGCATGAGGCCCTGTGTTCAATTCCCCATCACCACATAACCAGATAAAACCGGTCGTGGTGCTGTGGCTCAAGTGGTAGAGTGCTACCCTTGGGCTGGAGAGCTCAGGGACAGTGCCCAAGCCCAGAGTTCAAGCCCCATGGCTGACCAAAAACAAAAAAAAAGTATAGTAGATGAGTGGGTGGCCATGCCTACGTCTCAATACTCAAAATCAACAGATTACCTTATATAGCAAAGGATGCAATTCATTAAAGACTAAGATACACTTGTTCTGCATTATTCAGGTGGGTCCTAAATGCAATCACACATGCCCTTGTCCTGTCATGCAAAAAATGGAGCAAATTTAGAGACAACAGCGCAGAACAGACTCAACAGAAGGGTTATGGTAATCTGATCATGGAAGGGAGGTAGAAAGTCAAGTGATCACAGGACACAAAACACCAAGAATGATGACAGCTGCAGGATGCCAAAAGAGGCTTGGAGCAAAGTCTTCCACAATGTCTCTTTCAATGAGTACTAGCCTGTGAGTTGGCTTTAAGAAGGGTGAGATTAAATTTCTATTTACTAAACACACCCAGTTTGTGGTAATTTGATACAACTGCCCCGGGAAACTGGTACAGTAGTAGTGGTGAATCATTTACACAAGCCATGAACCCAGAAATTACACCGTAAGGATCGCTTTGTAAAAACAATTGCTCAGTTATACACAAACCTATGTACTAGATATTCCAGGAAATTCACCATAAAGTGGCCAAATTGCTGCACATTCAGAAGATAGCACTAAAATCAATATTCCTATAATTATTGGAATGATACGCTCAAGTGTTGAAATTGATGAAATTACAATAAAAAAGTAATTGA